TAAATTAAACTGGAAACAATGCAAATGTACTTTATTTATGACACCACTATAAGTGTGCACATGTGGCTTCACTCTTATCTAATTAACCAGAGAGCCACATGACAGCAGGGTGGACATTATTAAAGCCAGTAACAGCGAGAGGCAAAGCAGATCACCCCTAGGGTATTAACCATAGGGTAAAAGCAGCAGGCGAGTGGGCCTAGAGCTCAGGGCTCATCGAATGAATTCACACCACTTTATGGGTGGGGGGAGGGGACCGAGGGTACAGCACAGAAAAACATGCACATCAGAGAAAACTGTGAACCACTGAACACGCAGGAACACCGAAAACAGACGAACAGCCTCCCAGACACTACTTAAAAAGTAAAAACAAACTACAAATGACACCCTATAAAAACATACACAGGAACACAACCTCAAGTTTATGTTTGCTGCTCTTCATAGTTGTGTCTCTAAATAAACTAGGGCACTTATAAACAATGCTTAATAAACTGGGACACCCTTTCTATTCAGATAGTTGGGTTCCCTGCCAAAAAATTATCATGGACAATGGCTGTCATGTGTGCACCATAACAAAGAACATTAATCAGGAAAAGAGATGGAAACTGAATGATAAGGCTAAAAAGAGGAAAGTGGAAGTTATACAAGCGCTTTAGTGACCTCACCATAAGATTAGCTCCTGTCTGGAACAAATAGTATGGGTAGAGAATCCTCTCATAGTGAGAGCGGAGGTGAGAGCCAACTGCTTTGCCGGGAGCAAAGCCCATCTTCAGTGCAATCTGGGTCCATCGCCGCTCTCTACAGACCACATCAAAGCCTCCATCTTCTTTGACCAGCTAGATGGAGAAAGAGGTCACCAAAGACATGTTTACATATATATATATATATATTTTTTTTAAAGTATACATCAGCGTTTTCAACTCTAGTACCCCATATTACCTGCAAAGTGCAAACTCTAAAACTTAACCAACGTACTATGCTTTAAACCATGTGTATGAGCACTGGAGATAACAAAACCTCAGTCCTACCTTGTAAAGAACATATAAATCCAGGGTTTTGCGCTCAACATGAGGAATTTTCAGTGTGCATCCCTGCAGTTCCCAGAACTTTGCTATCTGGTCCAAGAAATTGAGCTTCACTCTGGTTTGGGCCTATGAAACAAAAAAATACAACAAAAATGGTATCAGAAAATCAAACATGAAGTCCTCGTTCTTTCAGTAGCATTTAGTATGCAAAGGAGAAAGCATATTTTTTGCACTCGTTTTATATTTAAAAGAACATAATTTGTATTAAGAATTATTTAGGTACCCTCAAAGCCTGAGCTTTTAAGTGTGGGCATACCAAATTGAGGTCATGGGTAGTTGCAGGTTTCTGTTTAATAAGGGCACATGAACATATCTGCAAATACAACATTTTGATCAAACAGGAGACAAATAAAGGTCTCACCTCCAACTCATTGAGCCTCTGAATGCGTGGTGTGAAATGCAGTCTGTCCACATCACAGGCAAATGGTGGCTGCCATCCCTGACATAAAGAAAAAAAATGTGTTAAGCTTTTATGTACCGGTATACTATATGCCACATGAGTTAAAAACTCTGGTCTAAAAAAATATAATTCTTTCGGTTTATATCTGCATGTGGGTTTTTCATAATGCCATCTTTGTACTGAACAATAACGCTTATAAATACAATATGAAAGTGGTATAGCATTTCATCTACACCAGGGTGATTCAAAAAACATATTACGGTTTAATACACAAATCAACATCAAGATGGTTTTCATTTCAAAAGGCCCTGATTCGTTTTACCTTAAACCAATTTTGCTGTACATCATAAAGTATGGTATGATGCATTGCATACACAATATAAATATATATATATATATATAAATAATTGAAGTTGTGAAATGGTCCACTGGCAAGAATCTGGAACTATTAACATTTTATCAATATATGTATGTGCTAACATCAGTTATAAAAGGATATTCGCAGTATAACACACTAGGGTGGATAATGAATATAGATTCCACGGAGGCCGTTTTAGGGTGTTAACAGTTGTGAACAACAAGGCAAAACACAATAAATTTACATAGCCAAGACAATAAACAACTGTTTTGTAAACGTTTAAAACGCGACATAAACCGAAACCAGCTTCTCGCTTGCGTTGTTATTTACATCAAATTTGAGTTTCAATGGCCAAATGCAAATACACAACTCGCACAACATGGAGGACAACGGCAAAGAACAATTACGCCACCGCCAACTTCAGCAATTTTTTTATTTATTTTTTACAGTTGTCTCAAGATAAAACTTACACCTTAAATTATTTAATAAACGACAGTAATGTGTTAACAAACGAGCGGTTTTACATTATTTGTAAGCAAAAGTGGCCATTTTTAGACAAGACAGTTTCCGTAGCACTGAAAAAAAAAAATAGTAATACATAAACATAATAAACAAAAAACATGATCAACAAACACTTTCACACCACCTTTCAACATCAGAAAACCAAATAAAATATTATATTTGAAAGCAAATGCTTTGAAGTTAATGTAAAAAAATGAGGAAGTTGCATTTATTAAATGCAACGTTACACCAACTGTACAGGTTTTTCGCAAAAGGCTTCAAAATAAATGTAAAAAAGTTATATAACGTTAATGCTTGTCCTAGGTTGCAAGTTCAACTATCGAGGATTGTTCTTGTTTGGGTGGATCGTGGATGCATTCTAACGAACATTGATTTTGGAAGACAATAACAATCACTACATTCTGTTCCTCAACATTTTTCCATCAACCAAACATTTATTAAAAGTATCTGCAAAAAAACAGCCGTGATACTTATAAGCCATAGTATGATAAAACTCTTGAAAGGAAAGCAAGTGATGTTATTGTGGTCGCTGTAGGAGTAAACCACACGCGAGCATTCACTCATAGCTAGTAGCTGCGCGTACACGCGCACACGCCGTTACGAACGTTCGCAATGGCTGGAGCCGCAATCCGCCATGTTGAAAAAGCTTGTCTTTAGAAAAAGTGTTTCGGGATCTGCAATCTACTAGTAAAAAAGACGACAGAGAGATAGCTTGCATTTGACAGTTCTGTTATATGTCGAAGAAACTTACCGGGGGCGGTCTGATCTTGCAGATGCCAGTGTTTTCTGCAATTGGACGTATTTTGTTGATGAACCCAAAAGGGTCGGCAAATTCCTCCCAACTGGGCTCAAAGACAGGGCACTCCGGTGGTGGAATAAACTCGTTGGGTCGTGAATGGGTCATTCTGGGGAACTTGATCCAAATGATGACATGTAGAAACTGCAGTAAACTGTTTGAAGTTGAAGTAAATGTTTTAATTAGTCTCGAAAAGATGCCATATTAAAGAATGATTACACCTGAACTCCGACAATTAACATCCTCATCCACTTTGGGAAACGTACACACAGACGGACTGCTGACGTAACAGTGCTTAGTCGTCTTCCGCTTCAAAAGTAGAGACGCTTGATTTCCTTTCTTTGTCCGACATTCTCACCAATGCAGATTTTTTAAATAAGTTTTTTAAATTGTAAAATGAACGCTTAAATTCTCCAAATCGCATTGGAAGGGGAAAAGGTCATCGTATATTATCGCACCATTTACGTAACGATCAATAGGCCTACTAACAAAGCTTTTGGTTTAGTAATGGTCATAATTTATTATTAACATATATACATATATATATATATATATATATATATATATATATATATATATATATATATATTACATCAATTAGTTTAATTATAGCAAACACAATATGCAATTATATTTCAAATCTAGCACACATAGTAGCTGTCTATAACAGTAATCCAGGTTTTATTTTCAAAACGCGTTTGCTTTATCTGCTCGCGAAGGCTTAAGTAAACATATTAAGTAACAGATGGTACTCTCATGAAACCTGTGATCAAAACAAAGCTTTTATATATATGATGAACCCCTCGAAAACTTTTGTAGATTTATGCGTTTAACCGTCTCCCCTAAAGTGCTTTCGAAAGGCAGAAGTAGGTTCCCATTGAATTAAAGAAGTGACTTGGTGGCTCGCGCGGATTGATAAACCCCAGCTTCATTTTCACCGGAACTACTTCTTTAAATGGACTCTTTCAAGTTACCCACTCGGAAGTAACAGATGTTGTCCAGGGACGATGAATTTAGTCACTTCCCACCCGATTGTCATCTAAAATCACGATTAACCTCTGGCATGGGGTGACGTCGTACAGATAGCACACAAAAACCGTTTGAATAAATAATCCGTGAGCATTTGCACCGTCTCGTGACCCGATTTCGGAATGCATGATCCTTCAGCGGGAAATAAAATATTGTGCCAAGACAGAAATCATCTCACCGTACTGGCGTTGCGATTGACTTTTGTCTTTACATATCTCTGTGCAGAGGGTCCATCAACATCCAACGTAGTATTCCATGCGAGCAATTTCTATGAGCACGTACCGCAAGTCAACTCGGAAGGTGTCGCCCCCTATGAAACGCAGGACAGCGATACCCGGTTCCCTTATCCGCCTATCGCAGGAAACCGCACAGTTATTCCACCGAGGCAGAATGACCGAGGTGTGGCAGTTGTAGCCTGACAATATCGACACTTTTGTTTAATGGTCTTAAAAACACAACATATCGGTGTTTACTGCCTTGTTGTCCCCTAAATCACGAGTTTAAATCATACATGTTCTTTAACATTTTTACTCACAGCAGCACATTCAGTCAGAGTGATACATATGCTTCTCGCCTAAAATGGTATTCTTTCAAAACAAGACTACGTCTACAACAGACATATTTACCCTATATGTGTGAGTGTGTGTATATACACACACACTAAAATATATATACATACATATACACACAGAGAGAGGGAGAGATACAAGACGCATTAAGCAACACCTTTCTACAAAAAAAATCTCATAACTCTCATAACAGCTGTTATATTTTATTTTTTCAGTATAATATTGCAATTCTTGTAAATGGTCAACCATGAATTTTGTTAATTTGACAAGCACTGACCTCCTCCTAAATCTCCTCATACACAAAAGTGACTTCATGTGTTCTGAAAAATCATAGAGAGATAATAGAAAGGTCTTGTGTTAAGGAATGTTTAAAAGGACTGTCTCCATTCATCTATGATGTTAGACAGGTGTACATGTTACCATACAGTTTGGTGAGAATGAAAATGTCACAATAATAATAAAAACTACAAAAACCAATTAAATTTTTCTAAACTCTGTGAAGAGAGCAAAAACAAGACCTATAGTAGTTTTTTTTCCAAACAAGAAAGCTATCCGAGTTACATAATCAAATACAATAGGATTTTTCCAAACAGTGACTTCAATAAGTGCTCTATTCGTGATTCACCCTGTCCAATGCCACATAGAAGCTCTTCTTGTCATCCAGGCAATGCCAACCAATGGGTCCAATCTCACAATCCGCACAAATAAGGTACTTCACTTTGCCTACATCTTTTGTGAAACCCACGTTCTCAAAAGTGTACATGTCATCAACCAGCCAGTGAGCTGTTAATGTGTCCCCATCCAATGTACCGTCTGACTGACCAATGGAGGTTTTCTTTCTCATTGAAGGGAGAAACAGCTAGTAAATGGAAAGGGATGTTGCATGGAAAACAGATGACATATCAGTCTTGAAATAACATCATCATTGTATATAATATAATATATATTTAAAACTACAAGTCAGTTGTGCAAACAGACATATCATGCCTATCATTTTGCAAATTACTTAGTGTAAATTACAATGAATTATCATAATGTAACATATGTACCATACCTGTATTTAAAATGTTTTACACACAAGTTTTAAAACAAGTTACCTCCTTTTCTGCAAACACTGCCATGCCTGGGCAGAGCACTTTGGAAGAACATCTCTGGCACAACACTGATTTCACATTTTTACCATCGTCTGACACGAGAGAGGGGTCTACAGATCCCTCGGGAGAGGACTGTTTACTGTCATCCATGTTAGTAAGCAAACTAAAAACATAACATAAGATCAATCAGAATTTACCATAAATTACTTAATTATGTTCAGTCTATCAATGCATCAACATGGTATTGATATAATTAGCTATAACAGGCTAAATAAGAGACTCGTAACAGGAATACTCGCCTCCAAGTCAGACCATAAGGAAAACCGACCCTGCATAAGTCAGAATTATCCAAATATGGTCTTCGAAATGTTGAGTACAAATATGGTAACTTAAGTATAAACACAATAATAGACAGTAGTTGGAAAACACTGGCGGACTAGTGTCAGCTACTGCTACATGCGCAACTGCTAAAGCAGACCGGCTATAAACAAGCCACGAATTCGTTCCGATCGGCTCAGATTAACAGACTCCATTTTCAGACGCAGTTATGTTTTAACATAATGGGAACATCCTTTTAAGATAATAAATTCAGATAATATATTTTTTATATATTCCCCCGGTTTCACGGACAAGGCGTAAGCCTAGTCCCTGACAAAAATGCATGTCTGAGCTGTTGTAGCTGAAAGCAACACTGACGGATCTTAAAATATGTTATTGCTATTGTTTTGTCTCAAAATGCACACTAGGATTTTTTTTTCTTTTTCTAAGGCGTGTTTACAAAAGCTACTTAAATGTCTGATTGAAGTAAGGCCTAATCTTGGCACAATCTAAGCCATGTCTGTGAAACCGGGCCATTATTGTATATAGTTATCCTTTGTTCAGATATCATTTGCAAATAATATCCTGGTTCAGAGATAGTTGTTTGCAAATGTATAATAATTATGAACCTCCAGGGATTCCATTTTGAATGTATACAAATCTCCATTTTTACTTGAATGATAATCTCGACCATATAAATCAACCAAATAAGAGAAACTCAAAGTATGACCCATAAATATTTATTTGAACATTTCACATTTCAGTTAAATGCAAATGATTTACCACCTCTACACGTAACAGATGAATATATGGTTGTGGTAAAGCCACACAGTTAGCTTATTTATTTAAAAAGGATCAAACACTACTTTTTTACAAACAGCAGTCTGAGAAAGTTCAACAATAAAGGTCAAACTTTTTGGTTCATTTATGTAACCTTATTATTAATTTGATTGGATTGCTTGCAAAGTAAATTAACTAGTTATGTTTAAGACTAATGAAATTTACTACACTGTAGTTTTGGCCCATCTATTTTAAACCTATTTCCAGTGGCCTAAGGCACGGGAATATTCTTATACTTTACAGGAAAGTTTATACTTTACAGACTGCACAGATGTATCCATGCAGAGGCTTTAATAACAATGATATTCAATATCTGCGCTGTAAGGTGCAACAGTTGACCTGTTTACATTTTCAATTGACCTAGAAGTAAAAATTAAATTATGAATGTGTTTGAAGCAGGTAGATTGTGCCGAAAACCCTCAAACCCTTTATTTGCCCTTTGTGCGTTTTCCAGTTATTTTGAATAAAAAGATATCAAAGACATCTCTGCTCTTCAGTAAAGTTTGGGCAATAGTTTGGATGTGCATCAAATGATGTGAAGAACTGTTCATTTACATTAAGAAAAACTTGGATGTATTATATTTTGAGGGGGCATCTCTACAGCTCAATGAAAGTGCTTTTCACTACTAAAGAAACACATTCAAAACCCAAGAGATTGTGTTTAAATTAAAGATCGATGATAACAAGGGTCATCATGTTTCAACCTTCAATTATTTGTTCAGCCAACGGCGCCCTTAAACCACACAAAACCTTTCATTAAGGGAAATTTCATGGATTCTTTGTAACAGAATAAAAATGAATAAAAGTCAAAACGATCAGGAAAAACTCAAAGGTGAATAAAAACAAACCAAGGAATGAGTATAAATGGGGGCACTAAAAATCCTAATTGAAAAGCGATGTGTTTGTAGAGCTCTCAGAGGAGAGTGTCATCAGTGCAGCCTCCCTCAAGGCCATAGCGGAACTCCTGAAGGTTGGACACCCCATAGAAATGAATGAAGGCTGCTGCCACCACCAGCACATGGAATATCTGGTGTGAGTGAAACTAAGAAGAGAGCAAATTAGGCGAGTAAAACATCTGCATATCACTATACTTAAGAATATGACTATGAAAATAATTTCTGACTAAGGTGTAACTTACCCAAATATCACACTTGCCCGGGAAATAGCGCTCTGGAATTCGTGCAGCATATAGTCCAGCACCTGCGATGTACATGGCGCCCATTAAATAGAACCAGCCCATCTGTCCAACAGTAGTGGCTTTGACAAAACCCTCCTCGATGGTGAAGTGCATGGTGGGGACAATCCCGCTCAATCCGAGACCCATGAAAACTCCTAAGGAAAACATTTTTCAAAAACAATTTGCTATGAATAAATGCACCGTTGTCTTGTTGTAGTATTATTTTAGTGTCACTGATATACTAGTATAATTTTTTTATTTTAAATTAGTTTTCATTTTAAATGAATACATTAATAGTGTTTTTTACCCATTTCTTTTTATAAATATGTCTAGACTCTATATAGGTTTTACTTCAGTTTTTGCTTTAGTTATTTTAGTACATCAAGTAAATGAAAATGTGAAATGTTGATTTGGCAACTAGCTAAAATGAAAAATAAAACAATTATAAAATTTCAGTTAACATTCATTTCTATTTCAAGTAAAAAAAAAAAACAGTTTTATGCGTTTAGTTTTAGTTAACTATAATAAGGTGAATTAACCTTGTATTTACTCTAATAACCAGATAAGACAAGTTGAATGAGAAACTGCTGCACAGAGTGACACCAATCAGATGGTATTTGATGTTTAAAAGTCACCATGGAATCAAAATGGACAATTCTTCTTTATTTTCTTTATGTAAAACTGCAGTGTTTATTTAATGATTTATCCGTACACATTATGTTAGTACTTTATTTTACAGTCCTGTTCCCCATATACTATGTATGTACTACTTAAAGTAATTGCAATAACTGGGTAATAAACTAGGTACCTACCCTTAAACCTAACCCTAAACCATGTAGTTACCTTATATTACCAAGTACTTTCTTAGGTAAGAACACTATAAGTACATGTAAGGGCACGTACTGTAAAATGAAGTGCAGCCCACATCATTATAATTTTTTAATCAACCACATTAATATCCCTTCCCGCTTGCAACAATGTCTCTTGTCCAATGACACGTGCACTGGTGCAAGGGTGGGACATTCCTTTCCTCCAGCAACATGTCACTCAAATGAAATCGCAGCAATTAACAAACAAAGGCAATCCAATTATCCAATCAATTCCCGATTGAGAAAATCAAGTTTCGTCCTACATTTTTTCTAGTTCAAGCAGCCATTTCACTCTGATATACGTCCAGTGCTCAAAGTGAAAAAAAAAAAAAAAGTGTTGGTGAATTTGCGCTCCAGGGGCAGGGAAGTCAGAGTACCTGCAACATGTGAGAAGTGCCGGCACGCAAGATAAAGTGAGGGTACGCTACAGATTAAAATACAGAACTGCCGGTACTACCTGATTAGAGAAAACGGAGAAAAAGGTTGTTGTGTTCCCTTTTGACATAGGTAGGAAAACTTCAACACCCATAATGCACTGGGCATGTTGCCATCCAAAGCCATTCCCAGTCTATGGATAGGCTTGACGGGAGTCAAATACTGCTTTGCTTTAAGTGTGGGAATCTGCAGGTCGGAGTAATGGGCGTGACGAAAGGCCTTTACAATTGGTGGCGAAAACTGCCTGTTAGTGTGTGGGGTTAGTTTCTGTTGTAGCATTTCACCTTTTGGCACGGCCATTATTCCACCCTGCAGCTACCTCCTCCTCTTTTGCTTTAGTAGGAAATAAGTCTTAGCAAACTTTTAATCATAATGGTATTGAGTTGTATTGTTTCCGGATGCAAGAATTCAATGAGTAAGCTTTTAGTAGGGAGCAAGTTATTTTCGGTTACCAGTGAAGGATCCAGAGCCTTGTAGGCAGTGGCTAAAACAAATAATAATAATGGGGAAGTACAATCTGTGGTTTTCATGAAAGCCCTAGAGCTGTCAAACGTCAGCGTTTTACATCATCAGGTGGACAAATAAATCATTTCTCAATCCAGGCAAAATGGAGAAAGGGTTCATTGTTCATTTACATATACTACTGACGTATCAATACAAAGCGGGTTGAAAATCGATTCTGTGAAGTTACACTTTAACTTCTATCGTCTGGTACTATATTTCTTTACTTCAGGTTTAATCTTTTAGCATTAAAGATTGGCCTAAAATATGCCAAAATGTAAACGTTATGGCAAATACATCACTGCCCACCTGCTCTGGTGGGCCTGTGGCGGGGAGTGGAGAAACGGTCCCACTGAGCAACTACGATGGCTGCTATACCCAACACGCAGACGATTGTGAGGTAGATGAGACGTGGCTGAGGAGAGCAGTAGAACGAGTAGTAAAGCCAGGGTACAAAAGAGCCCATGATCAGCAAAGCAATTCCGGAGTAGTCTAGTCTAAGAGAGAGAGAGAGAGAGACATGAGAAAACAGAGAGATAAGTCACTTAAAGTCATTTCCACCATGAAATAGTGTAGTTAATGAGACAATAAACCTACTTGGAGAAAGTGCGAGAGACTTTCTCAGAATGGCAGTAGACAGTGTGAAAAAGCCAGGAGAAGCTGAGGCACAGCACTGCACCCAAGAAGAACATCCCGAACACCACCTTCTCCTGCAAGGGGGCCATGAAGTACATATTGGGCCTCAGCATGGTAAGTGTGCCCAGGCACAAGAATAAGATTAACCCTGTTGAAAAAACAAAATAAAACCAATTAAACAATGGGTCAATGTTTTTTTGGTGTTGTCTGGATCTTTTAAATTTACTAAAAGCAACATTGCATGTTACAAAATACAACTTTCCTGATATCACAATGAAGAAATATATTTAAAACTAGACTGAAATGGTATACATTTTTTTTTTTTTAATAATACAATGCCAACATGAACAAAAAGACTTGGCACCAGTTATTTTAGTATTATTTTGTATTTTCTAATCATTTGATTTAGCTTTTTTTCTTTAGTTTTCATTCTAATTTTAGTTTAAGTTTGAGTCAGTTTTATTGGTATTGTCAAGTAGTGGCTGTATATGGAGTGCACGACGAAGGAATATCTAACAAACACAGTTTTGATTAAATTCACAACAGATAAAATAGGAGATTGAATAAGCAAACAGTCACTTTCCATAAACGAGACGGGACAAAGAGAGACAAAACAGAGAGTATATACACAGACTAAATCAGATAATTAATAGAACGACAGGTGAACAGAATCATAATCACGGAATCAAACAGGCACACACTAGGAAACTA